ATGCACCATTATCTTCACGGGAAAACCAAAAAGCACAAGCCAAATTCAGCCGCACTCTAGTGACGTTCATTAAAAATGAAGCGAAACCTGAGAAAGAAAGAAATATCGACCTCTAAGAAGCGGTGACTGCTCGTACCTAGAGCTCCTTCCTCGATTCGTCTCCCTCGGTGCTACTTACTGCTTTTTTCCGCCTCGGGCTTCGTCTCCCGTTAACTGGAAGCGTGCCCAAGCTCTCCTTATGGATACTAAGTGGAACGTTGAGGATGGCAACGGCAATGTCGACGAAGACGACGAAGACGACGAAGACGACGAAGACGACGAATACGGCGACGACAACGACAACGACAACGACAACGACAACGAAACGGCGGCGACGACGACGGTTAGAACGTTAGAAAGACGCTGGATGAGATACGCGGAGCTATGCGCCGCTTGTGTATGTATGTGTATGTAGAGCTGCGTTATAAGGATACCCTTATACGATTGAGGGAAACTGCCACTCGTCCGCGATTCACATAATGGCGGTCGTTTTGCCGCTGATATTCACCGACGTGACACTTTGATGCGAGTGGAGTGAGGACGGCGTGAGGACTCGAAATTTCCACTCCAAGTTGAGGTCGCATCGCGAGAGATTCTTGTGAGTGAGCTCGAATGTGACAAGGAATATGCGTGCGAAGAGTTATTGCTTTATCCGTGCTGATAATACCGATGAACATGAATTAGAGTGCTGGATTAATTGCAACAGACGAGGCTTTTATTCTATTTAATAATAAAGGCGATAAGTACTTAAGAGCGCGCTTGTATTAGCAATTTCAATTTTTATTTATGAAACGCAAGAAAATCATTGAATGAATGATCATTCGATAACGATGTACTGTTGTAAATAGCATTTTGTATTTGTACAAAGAAAGAAAAATCCAACGTTACTATTGTACAATAAACTATCAACGGGATACAAAAATAAATTCAAAGATAACGGGTTATTCATTAATTTAACTATAAACTAATAATGCCATAACAGAAAAGGAAATTCTTATCAAGACGAGCTTTTAGACTTTATCGTTAAACGATTAGATGTAATAATACAAGTTAATGTAAAATATCAGTATTATTATAAATGTATGAAGTTACTATTATGGCTGATTTCATCTCTACACTTATTTATTGGTGGAATAATAGCTTTGGTTAAAGTGCTTAGTCAATACATTATACACTGCTACGTTAAGAAAGTTATATTAACTCGTGTAAGTCGAAGGAAATGTAATGCAATTCGAATTAGGAAATTCAATTGTGAACAATTACTTTACGCGAATAGATTACTATCGATCAAATGTACCCTGGAAATTTTTATCTCGCATTGTATTTCTAACGATAACTCCTACTAATGTTTCTATTGTATTTATAATTATGTTCGGTAATTTTTATATAAAAGATTTTTTTCAACTTGTCATTAACCATACGTCGTAAATGATATACGTTTTAATAAATTTAATAATATTTTTCAATCATTTCTGTAGGCACAATGTATAAATAATATAAATTATAAAACCGTGTGTTAAATTATTTCAAGATATATATAATTCTAAATATAAATTATTCTATATATATATATATATATATATATATCTATGACTAATAGTAATGAGTTAGAAATAAACAAATTGATGTTTACGATAGTTTTTTATTTAAATTTCTCGATAACAATGATGAATAAACATTGAGGATGAAATTTGCCTCCTTAAAAAGCATTAAACGATAAGATTGACTATATTTTTTCACAATAATTGCACTGCGTTATTTTGATAAGTATTTTAATTAAATTTTTATATACGTGCACAGTATTTGCTAATTCATTATTTAATTTATAATTACATTAAAAAAATACAAATCAAATTACAATTTCGGCATCAATAAATTGCGCGTAAATTCATACAATTGAAATAGAAAATTGTACTTTAAGATTTTCTTTTTTTTTTTAAATTTAAAAGTAGTTTGACGATAATGGTTGATTAATAAAGTACTTTCCTGCATATAAATAAAATATGCTAATACAGCCAATGGATTATTCGATATCTTTTAAGCGATAGAATATTAAACTGCTTTTTGTCGATTATAAGATTCATCCAAAGAAACAGATTAATGAGAAACAAGATATAAATTCATTTCAATATCTATTTATCTTACAGTAATTACAAGTTACGTCAATAAAAATTATTTTAATAATTGTTACTCTAATTTCCATTCGCTCGTTTGATTTTCACTATGTTGGTTTTTTCATTGACAAATAGATATACAATTATTTGGTTAAATAATCCGATTAAATTCAAACTGTAAATGTTTATTAATTACAGATATAGTATTATAATAATAAATATTTGTCAAATGATATATATATATATATATATATACACATATATATACATATAAATTGCTAAAATACAGTTTTATATCATTAAGATGTGTAAGAAATTATTTATCACGCGTAAAAATTCAAAATATCACATAATACATACATGTCAAGTGCGCGAAAAGTGCGTTTATTTTAAGTGTGTCGGTAATCTAATGTGAGTTAGCTAATGCTGCACTTTACATCAATATCCATGATAATTTATCTCCAAGTATAAATGAATTAAAAAATTTAAATCACATTGATATTATATTGAAATTCATTGATTTTTGATAACTACAATTACACTAGTTACACAGGCATTAAAATTGCTCGTCTTACCATTGTAGGAGATATGTCGGAAATCTGCGAAGACATGAGTCAAACTCGCAATGAAATGCAGAACGAGTGCAAAGCCAAACCAGCGTGACATGTTGATCGATGCCTGACGTTTCTTCTCTCTGCAAAAACAAAATATAAAAGGAGCGTTAAATTCGCCTTCTCGCAGCCCTACATGATTTTTGCTTCTCCGTATAAAAAATTAAAGAAGTAAAGAAAAAGAAGGCACACACCCTCGTTGCTTGAGCTTTTCGGTTACCGAGGCCAGAAAGCGGGCTCGGGATTATAGCATAATGGGCTAAAGTCGTTATGGCGTTTTTTCTCTTTTTATTTTCTTGGCTACGGAGGGTGCATCACATTGGAGCAATTTTTTTACTTTCTTTTTCCTCGCTCGCGCGCCTTCTTCGTGCTCATACCTCTCCATTTCTTCTTAATTTATGAAACGATTTTTACATGGTCGAGAAAACAACTTTTAAAAGTTTTCTTCTACCACAAAAATAATGAGAAATGTGGGGAGTATTTCGCTTTGATTCTTTCGTCAAAATATTACTTTTTTTTTTTTTTTTTTTTTTTTTTTCTTAAGCCGATCGTTACTCTCGTTATCAATGTGAGAGAATGAAATGCAGCTGTTGAGATTGCTTAATGAATTGAATATTTGTATAATGGATATATAAAGATTTATATAGTATTATCATTGTTAATTATGCACTATCAAAGTAAATAAGATTACATGCGCATAATTGTATAATGAATTTGCTGGGTAAATTTGAAACTGAATAATTCGAAGATATTTGAGTTTTTTTTTTTTTTATAGGCATATGCAAACGTAACGATCCTGGTCGGCTAACTGGACTCGCCTGTAAGAATATTGCAAATGGATTGTGTCTTATGCATTAGAGAAGAATAAAAGCGACGATAATACCGCTGATTCTGAAATAATTATCATCGCCGTTTCGCCACTTGTGAGCAGCACCAGCAATAAAATGCGAGAAACTGTAGCCACCTAGCGATCGTGCTGGCACTACTCCCTCTTAATAGTAAATATCGCCTCCTTCCTCTACATCAAACCAAATCCGAAATATTTTACTTCCTATATATAATAATAACCTGTAGATTAGATTAATGAGATTAGAGTAATTTCTAATGACAGGCATAGTAAATTATCATATTATAATTGTAACAGTTTCTTTGGAACAAAAATGTAATTCCTATCACGATTTATTAATAATGTATTTATATTAATCATTGATTAACATTATGTTTGTAAGAATTCAACATATAATTATTAATCTACCAGCTTCCCACATTCAGTTACAATAATATTAAATGTACTTTGTACCTGAAATGGTAGAGAACCTATACTTCATAAAACTTTGATTGAACAGAGTTTTATTTTGACATCAACAATACTATTATCAGTATAATATCTATAATAGATACATTTTTAATATCAAACCTTCATTCTAATAAAAAGAGTAAATAATAAAGATTTAATTTAAAATTCCTTGGTATTATATGTCATATTCTTTAAAGTAAAAAAAAAAAATGAACGTAGAGTGTAATAAAAATAAATATATATTTCATTAAAAAAATTGAATTCCAAATAATTTAAATATCAAGCTGCACTTGCAAAAAATAAAAAAGTTTGTGAAAAGAAAATAAACAAAATTACGAAGAAATTAATAATTTTCCAAAAAGAATTTATTGGAATTTAAAGCTTTATTTTTACATCAAAGTAACAGAAATGAAATTTGAATATGTATATTCTAGCACACCGCGGTGGTCCGCACGAGACACTTATTCTTAACGAAAGTTAGTGCACTCTCGTTGTCTCTCTCTCTCTCTCTCTCTCTCTCTCTCTATCTCTATCTCTCTCTCACACACACTCACTCTCGCTACTCACTTTCTCTCTACTCCTTTACATTACCCCTCTCACATTCTCACGTAATAATGAGATCGGAATATCGCCGAGGTGGTCTCTGGATTTAACCCTCTTTGCTTAATCGCCCGAATCCTCGTGCGGATGAGTTTACCTGCGTGTATTTGTGCGCGTGTGTACGCAAACATTCGCACGTATTATTTACAGCTTGACTTTACTCGTGTTAGTTTCCTGACTTCGTGCAACGGTACTCAACATGCCTTGCTCAAAATTCATGCCCCTTTCAAAGCGTTGTATATTCGTTTGTAGACATAGAGTGGAGTGAACTTTAGCTTTGACTTTACTACGAATAAAAGTTTTACATGCGTTAAACGCGACCGGTAAATACTGAATAAAAATAAGGATAAAAAGGGTTTATCGACGCTATGTCTTTTATTTCAATCTCCTATTATGGTATTCTCTATTACATTAATATCAATTTATTTGTTTATTCATTAGATTTGTGAATTTGTAATTAAGTTATTCGTAAAATTAAGATTTTGCATTTTACCATCAATTGTAGGATTATTTATTACACTTTATGAAGAATTAGATAACGGAAGTTATCGATATCGAAAGTGAAAATTACAAATTAATAACACGAAGAATGAAGAAGAATCCCAAGACTTTAAGCGAAAACTAAAAACTAAAATATTTCGATTTACATATCATCATAGTAATTTCAACATTCGCAAGAATTTTTAAGAAATCTTTGATTAAAAAAAAATAGATAGCAAATACATGCTGATTGGCTATTTGGTGAGATTAATTAAGTACTCCCGATATTCAGTAATGAAAGCTTCAAGATGAGAAATTGAAACGATACGTACACGAGACTCAATCGCGAAAGTCAGGGAGGAACAATGGAGCGCTGCCGGATAAATTTAAGTTTAGACCTTAGAAATAGATTTTGGGGAGTTCCTCGGTGGATTTGAAGCCACGGGAGGCAGGAAAAGCCCGACGGCTTTTACCCGATGCATCGTATTGGGGGGAAAGGTCGCTTATTTAACTTTTGTAATTAATGCATTTTCAAGGAGTGCCGTAAATAATACAAATATATCTATATTTGTAGTCGATGACGAGTATGATCGTTTCGATAAAATTTAAATGTAATTCCTTCATGCCTTAAGTAGTGATAATCTCAAGAAGCGTGAGTTATTGGAATTAACGACATTTCTAATATTCATTCTCGTTTATTGAGTTGATATTATTAGAATATCCAAACCACTCTGGTTATTTTATAATTTTTAAGTAATAGAATCATAAACATAGGAAGGAGAGGCATTAATAATGTCTGCGCGCAGGCTCTGTCCTGTCAACTTTTTCCCTAGTTTTTTCATTAAAAATTATTTTGAAAATTAATATTTTTAAGTGCAACTTTAAAAGTTTAATAATATTTAGCAGAAAGGAAGGCTAATTTATTTCTTTGAAATTGTTTCGGGAAAATCGTGTTTTAGATTTTAATCTTATGTGCAATGAAATGTAAATCGCTCCCGTCAAACGGCTATAATTTCGTAAATTTTCTTAATAACCACGTCAACTTCATTACAAAATAGTCTAACATACGTAAGAGAGAGAGAGAGAGAGAGAGAGAGAGAGAGAGAGAGAGAGAGAAAAGAAAGAAAAAGAAACATAAGTTAATGTGATACAAACTTATTAATTTTTAAAAAATGGACGGAAAATTTTAATAATTAATTCAACGCCGAGTAAAATTTTTCACTCAATATATGATTCCCGAATACACTTCGATAGCTTTTGAAATAATTGATAATTAACTAATTTGATTTATTGTTTTACATTATTAACGCTAGAAATCACTTATCCCTTGAGATTATAGCTTTTTCATAATGCTCAAGCTTACAAATTGAATCGTGTAAGGCAATATGTATTGACTTTTCTATTCCACACGATTCTTACGTATAAACACGTGAAATAAGTACATTATAATAAAAAGTTACCGAATATATATTTTCTTTTCTACTTTTAATTAAAAATATGTTTAAATCCGGTTAACTCTCTACTTAAATAAATCATACGAATTTACGCTAACATGATTCTCCAACGCATACTTTTATCGTTTGCTTGAAAACATGATATGCTCTTTTGAATTAACGTTACTATATATTAATTTGGAAAGTAGGTTAGTAATAATCATTAACTGTTTTTTAAATGATACATAAATATATGTAAACTTTTATATGTTTAAAAAGTGTATGCGCTTGAAATGAAAAAATCATTATGTTACGCGCGCCAAAACAATTACACTAAATTCAAGTGAATTAATATCCATAATAATAATTATGGGGAAATAAGTGTTCATAAATTTTTCTAATATAATGCTCCAAAGTAATATTGGTACAAATATTATTTTCGACATTTGACATTTAATCCATTGGGAAATCTTTTTAACGTCACATATTCGTGATAAAATCTGATTTGAAAATGGAAGATTATAATACCAATTGCACCTTCCGAAACGCATTCTATTCGGTTTGAATTTTCGCGATTTAAGATGAGTTCGTTGGAAATTAATATTAAACCGTGCGCAAATTGTCTTAATTTTCAAAAAAAAAAAAAATAAATAAATAAATAAAAAAATAAAAAAATAAAAAAAAAATAAAAAAAAAATAAAAAAAAAAAAGAATTAGGTCAACGATGATAATTTGAATTTTCAAAGAGTTAATCTTTCAGTCGGGGCTTCGCGCCTACGGAGATGAGCTCGCGTATATCGTAATAATGATTTCGCAATGATTCGCGGACAATTTGTATGCGGACAGAAACCAGTATCGGATGTATCTTCGCACTCCTGGAGTAATAACAGAAATAATTTTAATAATTTTCGATTCATCATATTTTACAATATTCAAGTTCACAATATTTCACTGCCCGTGCGGTACATTAATTTTCTGACATATAATTTTTCAATATTATCCATTACTTGTAAATACTTATCCAATAATTAAGGTAATCAAGTGTAAGGTTTTCAATAAAAATTCTAAATATAAAGTAGTTAATTTTTTTTTTTTTTTTTTTTTTTTTTGTCATGTAATTGAATAAAATATTGGAAAATCTAAAGTCAAGTGTAATTTGTAATCATTCTCTATAATATATTTTAGCGATTACTTTACATATGTTGAATATTTTACAAATTAATACTGTAATATCTAGTTTCAGGAAACACGTGTATTAAGGAATTTTTTTAAT